TTATTATGATCTCTGAATGCATAGTAATCTGGCCATGCAGTGGGTGCGTATGTATATACATACTAGAGGCTCGGTGCATGATTTCATGCATGGGTGAGGTTCTGCCAGCCTGGCCAAGGGTGGTTGGCCAGCCTGCCTGCTGATCGAACTCTGGTCGAGGGGACATTTTGCATATTAGCCTTTTATTATATAGGATGTACACTGAGTGGCCAGATTATTATGCATTCAAAGATCATAATAATCTAGCCACTCGGTGTATATAGGTTATTACCAGTAGTAATGTTTGAGTTGATGAAATACAAATTTGTTATATCAGGATGAGTTTTCTTAGACTTGAAAATTTGCCAGGCCTTCACAATTTAATATGGTTGTTGGGGAGAACTATGTATTCATATATATTGCTACTTGATTTCTTTTGCTTTTTTATTCTTATCACTAACCCATATGAGTTTCAGGTAATGTTTCTCAGCCTTGGCAGTCTTCACATTTTGGTCCAGATAATTCTTTGTTTTGTATTTGCACCAGTGTGAATGCTGTTCTGTGCATTGTAGAATTAGTAGCAACCCTAGCCTCTGTCTCTAGATGGCAGCTTATCTGTCTAGTTTTGATCACTAGAAAAGGCTCTAGACATTGCCAGATGTCCCTTCCAGTGGCCAAAACCACCTCTAATTGAGAACCACTGGTTAGGCTCTGACTTTATAGATACGTATTCAAAGTTTACCTTCAAGAGCTCATACTGTCATATTGCAAATATCTTTAGTTTTGCCAAACCAAACCTCTGTCTCACAAGAACTGATGACTTGATCTTTGTTGGCACTTTCTATATTCTCTCCATATGCTCTCCATATGGTACTACCTGTGAGTCTGTAAGTCAGTCTTGAACATTTTTTCTTCATGTTATTTTTTCATTCTTTTGTCTTAATATCAGAGTATCCAGTATAGTACATTTTAGAAGTGAGTGTTTAATTGGTGTTTTTTGAGTTAAAAGTCCCCCAATTAATATTAACCACATTTCAATTGCTGCTTTAAATTGAAATATATTTCCTGATAGTTATCTGATTAGATTCTGTAGTTGTATAAGTAAATGTGAACAAACTTTAAGTTTCTCACATTGTGATTTGAGTTTATAGAATAATTATCTAAAAGTAAGTTTACTGTCCTACTCTGCAATTATTCTCTTTGAAATGTGTTGATGGTCCAGGTAACATGTAGGTATATTGTAAAATTAATATATAATTCTGACATTGTGGGCTTTTTAGTTTTTGCAAATCTCTTAATATACTGTCTTATTAAAAAACAAATGAGCTTTGTTCTTGAGTGTGAATAACTTGTGCCAAATGTTTTGAGAGAGATTTTTGTTATTCAGAAACTGTTTAAATATCTAATTAGTAATTTTGTGCTCTTCTCTGTGTTATAGACATATGGTTGATGATATGCTAAGTGCAGATGATGTCAGTTGCAGTAGCTCCCAGGTCAGTGCAAAATCAGAAAAAAATATGGCTGATTTTGATGGTGAAGAATCTGGGTGTGAAGAGGAGCTAGTTCAGATTAATTCACATGCAGAGCTAACATCTCATCTTCAACAACATCTTCCCAATTTAGCTTCTATTTACCATGAACATCTTAGTCAAGGTAAGGTTCTGTAGTAAGTAAAATACTTTCTTTAAAATAGGAATAATATATATTGTTAAAATGAATCAACAGTTAAAGTTACTGAATTGTTTTTGCCCAATAAATTTTATGTAGTAGTTTTTTTCCCTGAGTGAATTAAATAACTTTATTAAATTTTATCTTCAACAGTCATAGGACCAGAAAGTAGATTACACAGGATTAGATTTTGTATAATTCCATTTATATAAAATGTATAGCCTGAGGCTAGAGAGAATTGGGAAATAAGAGGAGGGGTGACTGCTAAAGGTCAAAGTGTTTCTTTCACTTAAGATGATAAAATCTTCAAAAATAATGTTCTCATCACTCTAAATGAATCTAGAAAAGGAATAGGACAGGCCAGATTTGGAAGAATGGAGTTGAGAGGGGTTTAAAGAATAATAGAAGAAAATGGAGGGGGGAAAAAAGTTACGAGAAAAACAGTTTTAGAATTATCAGTTTTAAGGTCTATTCTATATCCTATCTCTTATTTGGTTAGGTGCTATCAGCACTTGCTAGTCTTGGAAATTGGTTTTGGGATGATAGAACATTGCAAACTAAGTAAACCTGATCAATTAAGTTTATTCTAAAAGGTCATGATTAAACTTGGAGATAGAACTTGTGGACCTTGGCAACAACTTACTGATTTCAAATGTTTTTGTACATAAACTAGATAAGGTTACCTTTTTTTTTTTTTTTTTTTTTTAATTGTGCTATTTTGGTTGCTGAGAATTTAATAGGTTAAGATTGAGGTCATTTGATTTTATACTTTATTATTACATTTTGACTATTCTATTTTTATCTCATTTTCCTTTTAATCAGTACTGTAGATATTGTTTATTAGATGGAGTTAGAAGTTGAACAAAATTATTAAATGTATTAATACTGTCCAAATTCACCTTGTAATACAATGTATTTAATACTATAAAGAACTCTTCCAACACATTAGGACCCTCCAACTTGAAATGATCAAAAGATTTGAACAGTTAATATATAAAAGAAGATATAGAAATGGTTAATAAATACATGAAAAAATTCTCAGTATCTCTAGTCATCTAGAAAATGCAAGTTATAACCAGAATGCTACACACCTGCTGGAAAGGGTAATATTAAAAGTAACGATAATGAATGATGCTAAGAATATAGAGAAAATAGAAATCTCATAAGTTACTGTCATAGAGTATAGAAAAGTATAATTAGTTTGGGAACTGTTTTTTCAGTGTCTTATAAAGTTAAATATATACCTACCATATGACCTAGCAATTTCTGTTCTAGGTACTTATTCAGGAGAAATGAAAACATATTCACAAAAATATACATGAATGTTCATATCTGCTTCATTCATAAGAGACTCAACTGGAATTAACTAGTAGACAAACAAATTGTATATTTACATAGTGGAATACTACTCATCAATAAAAAGGAACTGCCAATACAGTGCAACACAGTGAATGAATATAAAAAAATATTCTAAGCAAATGAAGTTAGAAAGAAGAGTATATGCTACATAAAATTTACATTCATTTCTATAATCACAATTTATTGTTGAAATCTACTCAGTGGTTACTTGAGATTTGGTGGTAGAGATTAATTGTAAAAGGTCACAAGGAAACTTTTTGGGCTGATAAAATGTTATATATCTTATGTATTTATATTATATTATACTTTTGATTTGTTAACTATGAATGCTATAACTCACATCACAATTTTAGTCAGCTGTCTTCTTCTACAATGTGTTGTACTTTGCTCCCTCAGGACCTGCAGTTCATAAACATCAATTCAACAGTAATGCTGTGACAGACATTAATTTGGATAACGTTTGCAAGAAAGGAAACACTTTGTTGTGGGATATAGTCCAAGATGATGATGCAGTAAGTTATTTAATGGAACCAAAGACTGCAAAATTACTGCAAAATGCCCTTAGAATAAATAGTAACTTTATGTATTTTTTGTAGGTTAATCTTTCTGAAGGATTAATAAATGAAGCAGAGAAACTTCTCTGTTCCTTAGTCTGTTGGTTTACGGATAGACAGATTCGAATGAGATTCATTGAAGGTTGCCTTGAAAATTTAGGAAACAACAGGTAAATAGGAATTTAAAATTTTTTTATATAGTAGTCAAAGCTCATTTTGTATATTATTGACTAGGTGTGGTGAAATGATAGCATTTATGTGCCATTATTAACCTATTTTTTAAATATTTGTGGTTTTCATATTATGTTTAAAAATTTCCTTTTCAGAGTTCATATTTTATGACAGTTTTGCTTTTTTTCCAGCACTTTATTTCATTTGGCACTCTTAGATTCCCACCAAGGGAAACAAAGAAATACCGTATTTTTCGGACCATAAGACGCTCCGGACCATAAGACGCACCAGTTTTTAGAGAAGGGAAATGAAGAAAAAAAGATTCTGAAACAAATAGTGTCCTAAAATATTTTATGTGCATTAAAACCCAACATCACAGTCATAAACACATGTAATCAACCCTGTAAAGTAAACAGCAGCATTTAGAACCATTTTAGAGCCGGGCAAGCACACAGAGACCACACAGAGCCGGGCAAGTAAAAAAACTTTTTTTTTAAAGTATATGTGTAGGCTATATTTGGACCATAAGACGCAGGGACTTTTTCCCCCCACTTCTGGGGGGGGGAAAAAGTGCGTCTTATGGTTCGAAAAATACGGTAATAACACTCACTCCTTGATTCTGAGAACATATTTATGATTACTGTGATCACATTGCAGTTAAATGTTCTTGAACTGTCATGTTACATATAAAGAAAGCTAAATAAGATACATAAAGTAAACTTAAGCTGAAATGTAAACATTTTGATAATTGCATTGTTCTTTTATTTGGGTGGGTTTTTTGTGTCTTGATATTTGTATATAAAGATTTAGGTTAGTGTTTTTTCTCTAGTTTAAATTCTGCCATATATTTATAGTCTCCTTATCAGATAGAGCTCAAATGATTACCACAATTTCTTGAATTTATTTTTTATTTTTGGTTAATCCTCACCCGAGGTTAATTCTTCCATTGATGATTTTTTAAAAAATTATTGATTTTATAGAAGAAGGGAAAGGGAGAGATAGAAATATCAATATCAATGATTATTGATCAGCTGACTCTTGCATGCTCCCTACTGGAGATCGAGCCCAAAACCCAAGACATGTGCCTTTGACCAGAATGGAGCCCGGGACCTCTCACTCCTCAGGCCGATGCTCTATCCACTGAGGCAAACTGTCTGGGGCCATTGATTCTTAGAGAGAGTGGAAGGGAGGCTGGGGGGAGAGATAGAAACATCGATGTGAGAGAGACATGTTGATTAGCTGCCTCCCACATATGCCCTGACCCCTGGAACCCAGGTACATGCTCTTCACCTGGAATTGAACCCACACCATTTTAGGCTGATGCTCCAACCCCTGAGCGAAACTGGCCAGAGGTCTTTATTAATATATTTTAACTTCTATTCTGTTGTATAATTTCAGGTTTTTCTTGTCTCATACTGCTTTGATTAATGATGGTTTATTTTTATGGCATAGTAAATTTAATTAGTATGTTATTTATATTAATATAATGTTTTCAGCTTACCTCTCCCAAGACTGCTATCAATGTCTAATTGAATATTTAAGTGCATTAAAGTTTTCTCTTTTTACCTAATCAAATTAACACATGTATGTATAATATTTTGAACTTTTGGTTTTTAAAGAGCTAAAATTTGAACAATCAAATAGAAAGTTGCTTTTTCATGTATGTATGAGAAATCACCAGATTTCTTTTAATGGATCAGTAGCCTCATTTAGCATATATCATTTAAAAGGAATGTTGTTAATGCCTAGATCGTATTTTATCATTCACATAGGTATTATACTAGTTAATTTAAAAATGATAATTGTCTTTTAAAAGTCTTTGTAAAACCACCAGACAGTTTTTAAAGTGGTTTTATACTTAACCAGAAATTAAGAGGATGGGTTTTGAATTAGACTGCTTGACCAACTTCACTTTGTGAGTTTTGATGCAATGCTTGTATTTCCTATGTAAAAAGGAGAATAATATTAGAACCTATTTTATAAGGTGGTTATGAAGATTAAATTTAAAAAATACATAGTGAGGCAATTATTGCCAATAGTTGTAATAGATGTTAATGCTTCTACATTTATAATTATATATATAAAATTGTGGCTTTTTTTCTGTTTAAAAATGTTATAGAATATGTGAAAAAACAAAGCACAAAGAAAAATCTAAACTACCCATAATTTCATAACCTCAAAGAACCATTTATATGACTATAAAAACACATATGAAAGTGTGTATCTATATCTTTTTTTGATAGCATACTAAACATTGTTTTTAATCTTTTAAAAATTATTTAATATTGTTTTCAAATCTACATACTTATTCTTTTCCAACTACTGTGTGATAAAAGCAGTTAAAATTCAAAAAATGAAGTGGTTTTATAAATTTTATATTCCTCATATATGTATCTGCATACCCTGTGACCCAGAGTTTCCCTGCTAAGTAAGTGCCCTAAGAAATTCATCCCGATGTTTACCAAAAGACATTCCAGAAAGCTCATTAACAGCACTATTCAAAATAAATATTCTTTGTGTAATTGTTCAAATGCTAAAAAAGAATAGGAAGGAAAATCAACTTTTGGACTGTTGAATGATGTATATAGCAATAATAACAAACTACAACTGCACAGAATAGTATGGGTGAATCTCATATACATAATGTTGAGTGAAAGAAGTCAGATAATCTATCTCTAATTTTAAAGTGTTTAAAAACAGCCGAAACCGATTTGGCTCAGTGGTAGAACGTCGGTCTGCGGACTGAAAGGTCCCGGGTTCGATTCCGGTCAAGGGCATGTACCTCGGTTGCGGGCACATCCCCGGAAGAGGGTGTGCAAGAGGCAGCTGTTCGATGTTTCTCTCTCATCGACGTTTCTAGCTCTCTCACTTCCTTTCTGTAAAATATCAATAAAATATATTTTTTTTAAAATAAAGTGTTTAAAAACAGGAAAACTGTTATTTAATAGTCAGGATAATGGTTACTCTTGTGTTGTTAGTGTCTGGAAAGGGGCACAATGAAAGCTTCTGGTATGCTGGTAATGATTTCTTTCTTGATGTTAGTGCTGGTTGCACTGGTTTGTTCACCTAATATTTTGAAGTATTAGATATGTTTTTGCATGTGTTATACTTCAATAAAAAGAAAAAAACTGTGCAAGATAAAATATCATGTAGTCTTTCAGAGTCTTGTTTTCAAAGATTATATAACAACATTGGCATATAATCATAGGCCAATTTGCTAAAATATTGCAATCAATATGAGACTGTAAATGGTTGTTTTCTGGTAGAATTGAGTTTTTTCTTTTTCATGCTTTTGTTTTCCATTTTTTCCACCATTAGCAATTTTTTCTCTTATAAATGGACAAAAGGAAAAATCTGTGTATAAAATGAAAATTGTCAATCTGGATTTTTTATTCAGCTTGAATTTATCCACTTCCAAATTAGTTGAAGATGAAACATTTTACATTTGTTTGACGCATTCCTTGTACATTAATCATGTAATTATTTACAGAAAATATTTTTATTGATTTTTAGAGAGAGAGAGAGAGAGAGTGAGAGAGAGAGAGAGAAACAGAAACATCTATGTGAGAGCTAAGCATGATTGCTGCCTCTCCTTCCTGCACGTCCCCCACTGGGGATGGAACCAGAAACCTGAGCATGTGCCCTGACCAGGAATCAAACTGGCAACCTTTTGGTGTAGGGGACAATGCCCAACCAACTGAGCCACAGACCAGGGCTCACTTAATGAATTTTTTTAATGGCTTCAAACATATCTATTATGTTTTTTTGTTTTTTTAAAAAATATATTTAATTGATCTTTTACAGAGAGGAAGAGAGAGGGATAGAGATTAGAAACATCAGTGAGAGAGAATCATAGATCAGCTACCTCTTGCACACCCCCTACTGGGGATGTGCCTGAAACCAAGGTATATGCCCTTGACCAGAGTTGAACCTGGGACCTTTCAGTCCGCAGGCCGATTCTCTATCCACTGAGCCAAACCGGTTATGGCCATAACTATTATGCTGAAGTTAATTTTGCCCTCAGACTTTACTCCTCAGAGGGTTGCTATATTATGTTAGTCTGTTTTCGTACTATAGAAGACATTAGTCATATGTGACAATACGTAGAACATAGTGGCATTTTCCAGCTGATGATATATGCCACAAATGCAGTATATATCAACTGCACTTTAGTTATCATTGCAAGTGGAAAAAAATAAGTTTGAAAATATTTTAATCATCACTAGTTTGGGTTTCCTGATAAATCAGTGATTTCAATGTGGGTGATTCTCTCCCCTTTGTCCCCAGTATTTATGTCTGGAGATACTGTTTTCTTAATATATTTTTATTGATTTCAGAGAGGGGAAGAGAGAGAGAGAAACATTAATGATGAGAGTATCATTGATGGTTGCCTCTTGCATGCCCCTCACTGGGGATCGATCCTTCAACCTGGGTACGTGCCTTGACCAGGATTCCAACTGTGACCTCCTGGTTCATAGGTCGACGCTCAATCACTGACCTACACTGACGGGTTTGGAGATACTTTGGATTGTTATACTAATGAATAGGTTTAGAGGTGTTATAGGCTGGGGTTGCTGGTAATATTTAACATGTGCCTTGTGCACATTTATCCCTAGGCAGATTGGTTTATAAGGCACATCCTATAAGATATGTACACATATAATACCTTAATAAAACAAAACAAAACAAAACACATCCTTCCAGGCAGAGTACTGCCCTGTACAACAATTATCTGGGTCTAGAATGGCAGTGGTGACAACATCAAGAGTTGAGAAACCCTATTCTAAAACACAATTTATCATCACAGTAAGAAAGAAACTTGCACGAGTGTGCTCATAGGAAAGTTCTTATGTTAAACGGGCCAGTGTAACCTTAACACAATTACCGTTTTCCTTACATTTGACAAAAATCAGAGGTTTAGCCAAGACCAGTTTGGCTCAAGGGATAGAGCATTGGCCTTTATATACTTTTTAAAATATATAGAGAGCTACTTATTTTTTTTATTTTAATCAACTACCTAAAAATGGAATTGTAATCTCATGGGGTTTTAAGAAACTGAGTTTTTGACAGTCATGTTTTAAAAATGTACTTTAAAATGTTAATGTTTTTAAATAATTTGAAGAATATTTATATTGCACTTATGGATATCTCAGGCACTAACTGTCCTCATTACTTCACTATGTACTCCTTAATCTTGACCAATGGAGGTTTGATCCTCTAACGTTCTACTAACATATCTGGTAGCATTTTTTTTTTTATTTTTTTTGTCCTGGTTCTTCATGATGGTTATACAGCATTTAAAAAGTTGATCATCACCCTGAGTGGGTGGGGCTCCAATGGTTGGAGTGTTGTCCCATACACCAAAGAGAGGTTGTGGGTTCAATTCCTGTTCAGGACACATACCTAGGTTGGGGGTTGGAGCCCTGATTTGGGCATGTTATATATGTGTGTATGTGTGTATGTGTATGTATATGTATATGTATATGTATATGTATATGTATATGTATATGTATATCTCTATCAAGACAAACATATCGGGTGAGGATTTAAATACATATATAAAAAGTTGGCCATTTTCTTCCTTGAGAATCTTGCTTTTAAGTTCTTTGCTCTTTCATTATTTAAGTATATGTTCAGTGTGCACCATATGCAGAGAATTTTAATAAGATAGTCGTTGCTCCCATTGAGCACATATCAGTGATGGACACATTAAATAAAGGAATATTTTTTAGATGATGAAGAAAAATGGGAAGGAATCAAGAGGAATAAAGAGGTTCCTGGGTCAATTCAAGGGTATAATTTAATAGAGAATTGTCCTGGTCATCTTTTCTGATGACAGTTGAGGAAACATGAATAAATTAAGAGAAGGAGCAGTCTTACAGATAGATATTTAGGTAAAGAGCATATCCAAGCACAGGCAAAAGCAGAGGCCCCTAGCATTAATGTGCTTGTGTTTGTTGAAGTGATAGCAAAGAGAAAGATCAGAAGGAAATAAAGTTAGACTGATAGGAGGAATAAGGGCCTATCGCACAGGGCTTTGTAGTCCAATTTAAGTACTTTGGATTTCATTCATAAATTTATCTTTCTGCTGAAACCGGTTTGGCTCAGCGGTAGAGCGTTGGCCTGCGGACTGAAAGGTCCCAGGTTCGATTCCGGTCAAGGGCATGTACATTGGTTGCGGGCACATCCCCAGTGGGTGGTGTGCAAGAGGCAGCTGGTCGATGTTAATCTCTCATTGACGTTTCTAGCTCGCTCTCTCTCCCTTCCTCTCTGTAAAAAATCAATAAAATATATATTTTTTAAAAATAAGTTTTCCTTTCTAATTTCTGCTACTCAGTATTTCATCACTGTTTCACTCCCACTCAAACCTGTTCCTCTACTATCTCTGGTACCCTTCTCAAAGAGCAGGCATTTTGGAGGACTAACTTGTACACCAAACTTGTGGTTAGGGTGCCAACTTTTTTCTTTTAAAAAATTCTTTCAAAAAGCCATATTGGTTCCTGAACTTTAAAAAAAAAAAAAAAAGTAATAATCAGTATCTCATTAGAGTTCATCCTTCTTTCAAGGCTCATGCAGCTAATTTCCTTACCTATTAAGACTTCTTGGATTTCTATGCCAATATCTTCCTTATACCCCTTCCTTTCAGAAGATAGGCATATTCAGATCTATTATACTTGTGTGAGCTTTTCCATTACTCTTTTGTTCCTTTATACTTGAGGTATATGGTGTGCTTTTATTATTAACATGGTTCCTAATGCAGTGAATCTCAACTTGGATGTAGATCACAATGAGAATTAGAGAGAAAGTGATAATTTGTATAGCTTGAAATAAATGTTCTCTACATCATTGTTTCTCAGAATGTGATCCATAAACCCAGCATTTTGTCACTGGTGATCTTGTTATTAATGTAAAATTATTGAACCTGCCTTAGACCTACTGAATCAGAATTTGTATTTTAACAAAATTCCCTCAGGTGAATCAAGTGCATATTAAACTTTGAGGATCCCAACTCTGACTGCTGTTTTCTATTTTCCATAATTGAATTCTCAGAGCCCTATAACTTGTTAAAGGATATGTACTTTCATGGTGGGGGGAAAAAAGACCAAAAAAATTACCTTTAAATGCTTTTTACTTGCTTTAATTCTCTGATTTTATAGTGTATTTTACTTTAAAAGTCTTGGATTGGAATTTTAAAACTTGATTTCTTGCCCCAACGTGTAAATTTGTACTTCAGAAGAAAAAATTTTAATGATTGTGTAAGAAATATTTATATAAATTCATTAAATTCTTTTGCATTTAAGATCTTAAAAATAATTGAATTTCTGTAAAAAGCCATAATTACTGATAGTAGTTAAAATTAGTTTATCCTATAAATACCTGTTTTTGCTGTTTCAGATCAGTTGTGATTTCACTACGGCTTCTTCCAAAATTGTTTGGTACTTTTCAGCAGTTTGGGAGTAGTTATGATACACACTGGATTACTATGTAAGTAAATAAAAGAAATGTATTTATTTTAAATATCTTTTTTCAAATCATAGTTATCAAACGGGGTTTTTAATAACTTTCTGACTTTTATTCTATAAAAGAAAATTTTGACTTTTATGTGGTTCACATGTTTTCTTAGATTTCTAAGTGTTATCTCTATCACTTAGCCCCATGGAAATTATATTCCAATCAGTAGGAAAATCTGACTTTTGTATTCTTTGTAGTTTGAGAAAAATGTTTTAGCAATCAATGCTCTTATTTTAGGGTGAAGATTTTTAGTATACCTGGCCATACCAAAGAACTCCTTAAAAAGTCCTGTCCCCGTCTAAAGTAAACACTCTAAGATGTCTTTTATTTTTCCTGTTCCTAGGAATTGGTTCTAGAGATCATGTTGGGGTAATCTTGACCTCATCCTATTAATGTTAAAAAATTCTTTGTGGCCGAAATCGGTTTGGCTCTGTGGATAGAGCGTCGGCCTGCGGATTGAAGGGTCCCAGGTTCGATTCCGGTCAAGGGCATGTGCCATGGTTGCGGGCACATTCCCGGTGGGGGGTGTGCAGGAGGCAGCTGATCGATGATTCTCTCTCATCAATGTTTCTAACTCTCTGTCCCTCTTCCTCTCTGTAAACATTCAATAAAATATATTTTTAAAAAAATTCTTTGCGAAATTGATCTAGTTTTTGGTAACATTTTAGA